TAAATAAATAATAATAGGGTTCATTATGGGTTTTTCAGACATCCTTGATGTTATTTTAGCTTCCTCTCTTCCTCCCCAATTGAAGCCCCCCCCATTGTTCTATTTCTCCCTTCAAATCATTCTTATCTTGCTGTACCTAGTGTCCCCTCCTCATGGTTCCTTTTTATTTTCCTGGTTTCTATGGCTATTTCATGTTGTATACCCACATCTGAAGATTGGTACCTACGAACCTCAGATGAGAAAGAACATGCCACATTTGTCTTTCTGGGTCTGGGTTACCTCATTCATTATATTATCTAGTTCTATCCACTTACCTATAAATTCCATTATTTCATTTTTATTAAGGACTGAATAGTATTTCATAGTGCACAGATACCACATTTTAAGTGTACATTTGTCAGTTGAAGGACATTGTTTCCATTTCTTGACTGTTAGGAATAGAGCAGCAGTGAGGATATTGAGTCCTTGGGGCATGTGCCAAGGAATTGTGAGACTGGACTATATGGTAGATTGATTTGTATCTTTTTGAGGGTTCTCCATACTGATTTCCAGAGTGTCTATACCAGTTTGTAGTCCCAATAACAGTGAATGAAAATTCCTTTTTCCCCAGATCATCTCTCCATCGTTTATTGTCAGTTTTGTTGATCTTTGCCACCCTGATTGGGACTAGATGAAATCGCCAAGTTGTTTTGATTTGCATTTTCCTAATTACTAAGGCTACCAAAGATTTTTGACTTATTTTATAGCCACTGTAACATCTAATATGGTGGGAATGCTATACGGTGGTCATGCTGCACTATAAGACGATGACAAGGGCTTGTTTCCCTAAATATTAGAAACACCTGTAACTGAAATCAGAAAAGAAAGAACCTGCAGGCGTGAACAACTCTCATTCTTTTGAATATATCTAGCAAACAGTGTAGAGACAAAGAACAGAAAAGGAGCAAAGAGCTACAAAGAGAATAACACACAAGCCTCATATCAAATGCACGGTCCAAACATTTAGAGGAGGGACAGGGTAGATACTCACACAAATCCACCGGTAGTCTTCAGGCACAGATTCATGAAGCATGACCAGGTCTGTACCATTTCCATTAGCTCTGCTTAATCTGTTAAAAACAGACCATTTATTTTTAATTATTTCACTCTTGATGTCATTTTTGTTTAATTTTCTATCATTTAAATATACAAAACAGCCTGTATTTTGGTAATTTCAGTATGTGAAATCTTCATCGATTTGTTTCCTCGTGTGTTTCATGGTTTTTTGTTGGATGTAGCCTTTTGCTTTTTCAGTTTCCCTCTGTCTCTAGCTCTGGGTCCAGATCGAAGGTTACCTATAATCACTTCTCAGAGCTTGTATCTGAGGAAATTGTGACTAAAAACCTTTTAATTATTGGAAATGAAATGTAAACTAAGATAACCAGACTTCAGAGCCATGCTATTGTCCATGAAATGTACTTAACTATCCACTCTGAAAGTAGCAGTTGTGTGGAAACTTCTTATAGGTGTTCAGTTATCACAGCATCTATGGGAAAGACTGCTCTGACCTCCGTTGTTTTGAGAGTCAGGTAATGTTTGTTTCTGTGCTGAGTTGATTCTTTTCCTTCCTCTTTTACTGCCGGCTAGGTTAGGTTAGCTTAGTTTTGTAGTGTCTTATTTTCTTTACTGGAAACCTTACTAGGTTTAAGTAAAGGGAATTATATTTATTAGCCTCCAAGCCATTTAATAATAGTAATAATGGATATATACTTAGACACCAAGCTAAGTGTTATATTCACTTTGGCTCATTTCATTGTCAGCAGATGGTAATTATTGATGTTTCAGGTTCTGTGAATGCATGGGGAATGTTCTTCCTCCCAGGGATCTCACATTGGTGCCAAGTTAGACTAACTGGAGAACTATGGCAAATATAGAACTAAAATATTTTTAGAAAATGTATAAATAGAGCAAGCTAGTTTGAGAGTAATGAGTAGTAAGAAGACTATAATCCTCATACCAGCCTGTGTACAGCCCCATCAGACATGGAAAGGCTTGGCTTGTAGAAATTAAATATGTTTAATGTCACACAGGAAACACAGAATTGGATTATAAAAATAAATCTGTTAGGTAACAAATTGAAAATGATTACAGGTTTAACAAGTGTGTGTGTGTGTGTGTGTGTGTGTGTGTGTAGTATACTCCTTTTGTTTTGTTTTTCGAGACAGGGTTTCTCTGTAGCTTTTGGAGCCTGTCCTGGAACTAGCTCTTGTAGACCAGGCTGGCCTTGAACTCACAGAGATCAGCCTGCCTCTGCCTCCTGAGTGCTGGGATTAAAGGCATGCACCACCACCCAGCTTTAACAAATATTTTTTAAAAGTACATTATTTTGACGTTTTTTCTCTTTTCTCTAGGAACAGGTTTTGGAGGTCTGTGGCTCTCGATACAGTTGCAGATAGGTTTCCTGGAGCAGTAGAGTTGCACATGCACTGAACCTGCATTGTGATTTTCATGGAGCGTCCCTAGCACTTATCAGATCTGAATGTCCATGAATTAGGCAGAAGCCAGATTTGCTTTGTGTCTTAGACTACAGTTTGTTCCTCTCTGCCAAGAGAGTAGTAGGAAATAGAAATTGTTTATTCATTTTGTTAGGCTTAAAATACATTTTATTTTGACATAAAATAATTTGTGCACTCTTACCTATCAAAGTAGTTATCTTAAAATAAGACTTAATAATTCAACTTTAGGATTGATTTGATTCTGTCAGCAATTCCTCATACTGCATACACTCATGAGTTTTGTTGGTAACCTTTTCAAAGGTCAGTTCTTTCTTTTTAATTCCATTGCCGATCAAGGCTATTGTCCCTTCCTAACAAGGTAGTTATAAAGCATATTTTCTTCCAGAATCAATTTCACCTTACACTTTTGTCATATGGAATTTTATCTGTACATTTTATTTGTCTCTCACTTTCTATACCGTCCAACACCTCTTAGCTGAGAGTAATATAGAACTTGGCTTGGTGACTGACCGTTGTGCACAGTAAAAACATTGGGTGCTTTCACTACAATCGTAGTGCTTTTACTACTTTGGTACAGGTATCACAGATTACACTTGAAATGGTAGACTCTGTTACCTGTGATATGTTTGGCAGGTCATGTTGTAGTTGTGAAGTTAGCATAAGAATCCTTTTGTTTGTGAGAGATTAAGGAGTTAGATATTCTGCCTCCAGGGTTCCCATGGGAATGCCTCCATAACCCCAAATAAAACAAACTGACCAGGACTGAAGTTACAACTTCAACAAAGGCCCAGATAGACCTGTCCATTTGCTCAGCAACTGCCAGCTGCTGGATATATAAGGAGCTGTTGGCCGTTGATGTCTGCTCAAAGAGGGAGAGCCAGTTTTTATGAAGGATATGACACCTATTGAGTTGACCCTACTCTGGTGAAGGACCACACATTCAAGAGGATATGGGCAGCACTAGCTGTACTCATGGGTTTAAGAAAAGGTGGTGGGGGGATAGATACAAGTTGGGTGAGTTAGTGAAGTGGGAGAGATTTAGGAGGAGTGGGGAGGGGTGAATATATTCAAAGTATAGTTTAAAATTCTCAGAGAACTAATAAAAATATTTATTATTTTTCTTAGTCACTATAGCCCAAGACAGAAAGAGCTTGATTAACTTGACCAGTTTTACATGAGTGGTAGAATTTATATGATGCTTGTCTTGGTTTTTGTTGTTATTTCTGAGACAGGGTCTCATGTCGCCAACAATAACCTTGAACTCCTCTTGGTCCTCTTGTCTTCACCTCTCAAGTCTGGGATTACAAGCTTGCACCATCACACGTGATACTTGGAGATATTGTATATCTATGTATAAACAGTTTTGTTATTAAGGACTACCCCTTTTAGAATTAAGCATTATTTCTGGTTGCCACAAATTAATCCCCTACTGATAGATATTATCAGTTAGATTATAAGCTTCAGATACTTAGGTCCAGCTCTTCTCTGTTATGATAAGTATTCCATTGACTAGATGAATCATTTCACTGCTTATGCAAACTTTCCTGGAAGTTCTAAACACTGTGTCATCGTTTGTCTTCTCTGAAGGTTGCCTTTGGCTGACTGGGAAATGAAAAGGAACATGAAAAAGTATGAGATTAGAGATGTGGAAAAACAATAGTGACTAAGAATAATTAGAATAGGAGTGAGCATATATATTAGGGTCAATGATGAAAGTAAATTTCATTGTATACATAGGTAGCCAGGGTTTATCCATAATTAAAATTCAATAATGATTTTGTTGTATAAAATATTTTGTGGGTTTTTTTGTCATTATTTTGTTTTGTTTGAGATAGGGTCCTACTGTGTAGCTCTGGCTATCCTGGAACTCACTATGTAGAGCAGGCTGGCCTTGAACTCAGGATCTGCTTGCCTCTGCCTCCCAATGCTGTAGGAGGAGGCCACTTGTTCATCCCGGCTGCCCAGAACCAAAGTAACCATACAGAAACTGTATTATTTAAAACACTGCATGGCCCATTCGCTCTAAGTTCTTATTGGCTAATTCGTACATCTTAATTTAACCCATTTCTAGTAATCTGTATATCACCACATGGCTGTGGCTTACCGGCAAGAGTCTAACCAGTGTCTGTCTTTGGAAGGGATAAATGGCTTCTCTCTGACTCCACTCTTTTTTCTCCCAGCATTCAATTTAGTTTTTCCTGCCAAGCTCTGTTCCCTATGCCCAAAGCAGTTCCTTTATTAACAAATGATATTCACAATATACAGAGGGGAATCACGCACCACACCACCACACCTGGAATTGTATAAAATCTTAATGTTTCTTCATCTATTTGGACCTATTTAAATATTATATATGGTGCTTTCTGAATTCTGTGTGTCTTTATGAGAAAACACTTGCTGTTTTCAATTTGGGTTTACAGTTAACTCTATTGACCAAGGTTTTGCCTTCTTATCCATAATAACTGTTATTTGAAACAGCTCTCTCTCTTTTCTTCCTCTCCTTAGCCCTGGACGGAAGCGGGACTTTTCCCCTGTCCCATGGAGTCAGTACTTTGAGTCAATGGAAGATGTGGAAGTGGAAAATGAAACTGGCAAGGATATATCCTCTCAAAGAGACCGCCTCGGTGTGAGGGCGAGGTGCTAAGTCAGACGTGGGTAGCTCCTAAGTGTTCTTTGTCCTGCTGTTTCCATCTGTCTCCCTGAGTCCTCTACATAGCATGAAGTGTTACCTTAAGCCTTCTGCAGAATCCTTTTTGAGTGCAGTTGTTTAAGATTAAATTCCTGAACATAATACTCTGAGTCTAGCAAACTGAAGTGACAGAGTTTCTAGAAACCAAGTACTGAGGCCTCTTGAAAAAAGAAGGCATACTTACGGCATGCTTCAAAACAGCCTTGATACCTCAGAAACATTCACTTAAGTTTCTTTAAGTCTGCAGTTTTCACTGTTATCTTTAACTGTTCATACACTTTTCGAGTTTACAAGAGTGGTTCCGAGGGTCCAGTCCTGCTGCTTCTCCATGGAGGAGGCCATTCTGCCCTTTCCTGGGCAGTGTTCACGGTAAGTTTTTGGTATTAGAAGCTGGTGTGTTGTGTGATTGTTTTCTCTCAGGTAGACTTGACTAGTTCTTTCCATGCTCATTTATTGCTTTGGAATAAGGTTAGTTTGCAGAGCTTTAGCATTGTGTGCTCAGGATCCCCTGTTCTTTAAGCCAGAGGTTCTTGTACTATTTTGTATCTATATGCACTGGCGCCAGAGGTATGGAATTTGTACCCTGTCAACAGTGGGGAGTCTTTATCTCAGTAATTTACATATTAGATGAGCAGACATTTTATTTCAGATGCCTTAGATTATGTCTCTCACTTTGTTTTCTTCAGTGTCCCCATGGTACCTTGCACATGGAAATATTTCTATTGTTTGGTAATTTCATACATGAGTGCAATGGATCTTGGTTATATCCACCTAAATCCCTCCTATTATTCTTTCAACCCTTTCAATACTTCCAACTTCATGTCTTTTTATTTTTTTAAAAAAAATATTTATTTATTAAGTATACAGTATTCTGCCAGCGTGTATGCCTGCAGGCCAGAAATGGACACCAGATCTCATTATCTGTTGTGAGCCACCCATGTGGTTGCTGGAGATTGAACTCAGGACCTCTGGAAGAGCAGTCATTGCTCTTAATCTCTGAGTCCCCATCTTCTTATTTCTTTAAGTAACCTATTGAGCCTAGTTAGTGTAGTTTGTGTGTGCATGGAAGTTGGGCCATCTACAGGAACATAAACAACCTAGTAATGGCCACATCCCGGACGAAAAATGACTCCCCTCCCCTAACAGCCATTAGTTGCCAAGTAGCTAAGCTACTCCTTAGCTAGGGGCGAATCTTCATGAACCCCTCTCTCATCCATGTTGGAATATTAACTCTCTTCTTTTTAAAGTAATGCTTTATTTTATTTTACTTTAAAAAAAATGTGTGTGTGTGTGTGCACAGTTGCATGCACCTTAAAATTTAGGAAATAACACTTGGCTTGTAGTACTCGGGTCTATAGTACACGATATGGGCTAATATGAATACTGCCCTTTGTAAATCTTGCATACATCTTTGACTGGAGAAAAAGGCAGCCCACATGCAAGGAGACTTCTAAGGAAAATACTAGCAACACCTTTGTATAAAATGAAGTAATCTCCTTGTGCATTGCAAATATACACACTTCTCTGTTTGCCACTGAAAGAAACCAGGTCCCTAGACCAAATGGTCATTAATTACAGCCCCAAGTGTTTCACTTTGTTCCCAAAGGCAGGAATAATTGGGATTCAGTATTAAATCCTTGGCACTAAAGGATTTGACTTTTGTTTGCTGTTTCCTTCTTTTACTATAAGCTATGCTTGTGATTTGCCTGATGGAACCAAGCTTTCTCATGTCTCTAGACCAGTGCTGCCAAGTAGATCTAATGTGAATAATTTTTTCCTAGTAGATATATTGCATAGGTTTAAAAGCATAGGTGAAATCATTTTAAAGAATATTTTGTTTGAATAATTGTATTCAAAATGATATATCTTGATCATCTTAACAGGTAATCAATATAATAATTATTGACATGGGTTAGTTCTTTTTTCTTATCACCATAACAAAGTACCGCATATGAAGTGATTTATAAAAGTTTGGTTCATAATTATTTTATCAGGGGGGTTCTTTTTGAATTGAAAATTTTTTCTTGTATAATATACTTTGATCATGTTTTTTACCTCTCCCAATTCTTCTCATATCCTCCCTACCTCCCTATCAATCCAATTTTATTTTCTTTTTCTTTCTCTCTTTCAAAATCAAAAATATGGCATAAAAACAAAACGAGAACTCACAAAAATGAAAAAGATCAAAAGATCAATAAGTCAAAAAATGTCCTAACAAAGCAAAATTATACAAAAATAACATTGAGTTTGGTTTATGTTGGCTATTTCTGGGCATAGAGCCTGCCCTGAAGTGTGATTGATATACCCTGTAAGATTCAATTGGAGAAAAGTGATTTTTCCCTTTGCCAGAGGGTATCAATTATAGATATCTTCTTGGATAGATGTGGGACCCCATGTTCACCTCCCCTCTCAGTGCTGGAACCCCATCTGTGCAGTCCTGTGTATGCTGCCATAGTCTCTGTGAGTTCATATGTGCATCACCTCTGTTTCTTTACCTCCTCACTAGGAGAGCTTTAATGAAGATAGCCCATTTAGGACTGAGTGTTCTCATCTACTGCAAACGCAGCTCTATGGGTGTGGCAGTATGTCATTAGGAGTCATTTTATTGCTGTGTTCCTTTAGCAGAATAATAGTAATAAGCTTTTCACTAGGCCCGGGGCCTCTCTAGTCCCTGGCCACTTTGCCAGTGTCAGATATGGGTTCCATTTCATGGAGTGAACCTTAGAACCAATCAGAAAGTGTTACTCCTGTAACATTTGTGCTACTATTGTACCAGTATATCTTGTAGGCGGCTCACTGTTGTAGGTCACAGGGTTTTTAACTGCAAGATACTGATGATTATCCGTTTCCTCTGGTATTGTGCAGAGAGCACTTCCAGTACCATGAATGCAAGTCAGTAGGAATGAAGCTTCTGATGATAAGTGTTGTCTTCAGCGATAGGGCCTTATTATCATCAGATTGTAAAGAACAATCAGTAGCCTTTGGGAGTTTCCATGGGGCAACTTTGGCCAACGACTTAACAAAATGTAACCCATTCCTGGCACTGGAGGTTTTACTGGGTGGCATAAGATGTCTAATTAGAACATTGTCTTCCCCTATTATTTGGTGACTCCATTTAGATTTTTTCACGTATGTGTATAATTTAGGAAACTTGTACAATGGTGGGTTTCCATAGAACTTTTCAAATGGCCTTGAGTGTTAGTTGTCCCTCTTCATATTCTCTCCTTTACCCTTCTCTCCATTCCCTCCATATCTTATCCTCCCATTTTCCCCTTTGTCTCTCTGTAACTTTATTGTCTATTTCCTCTTCCTTGGAGATCCTCTCCTCCCGCTAGTTCTTTACTAAGTACTTACCCTCTGTGGTCATTTGGATTGTAGTATGCATATCAAAAGCTTAAAATTTAACATTCACACATAAAAGAAAACATACAATTTGTCTTTTTGGATCTGGTTATCTCACTCATGGTGACCCCTCCCCCCAAAAATCTATCTATTTACCTGTGAATTTTTTTTTCCTTTTGAGACAGGGTTTCCCTGGCTGTCCTGGAACTAGCTTTGTAGACCAGTCTGGCCTCAAACTCAGAGATCTGCTTGCCTCTGCCTCCTGAGTGCTGAGATTAAAAGTGTATGCCATCACCACCCAGCTACCTGTGAATTTCATAATTTCATTTTTCTTAGCAGTTGACTAATATTCCATTATGCAAATGTGCCACATTGTCATTATCCATCCATCTGTTGATGAACATCTGGGCTGTTTCCAGTTTCTGGCAATTATGAATAGAGCAGCAGTGAATATGGTTGAGAAGTATCTCTGTAATAAAATGTAGAATGCTTTGGATATATGCCAAGAGTAATATAGCTGAATCTTGAGGTAGATCGATTCTCAGCTTCCTGTAAAACTACCACACTGATTTCCATAGAGGTTATGTTTTCAATAGCAGTTAAGTATTCCCTTTCCCTCATCCTCATCAGCATATGCGGTCATTTATTTTATTGATCTTGGCCACTCTGACTGATGTAAGATGAAGTCTCAAAGTAGTTGTAATTTACACTTCTGATGGCTGAGGATGTTGTGTTCCATCTTTTGAGAACTGTCTGCTGCTTAGTCTGTATTCCGTTTTAAAATGTGTTGTTTTCTTGAAGTTCAGGTTTTTTAGTTGTAGGTGCTAATCCTGTCAGATGTATAATTGGTAAAGACCTTTACCCATCCTGTAGCTGCCACTTTGAATGACGGTGTTCTTCTCAGCTTCATGAGGTCCCATTTATTAATTGTCTTAGCGTGAGAACACTGTGGTGTTATGTCCAGAGAGTCCTTTCCTGTGCCAATGAGTTCAAGCCTATTTCCTACTTCCTCTTCTATCAGATTCAGGGCTTCTGGCTTTATGTTGATGGCCTTGATACACTTGGACTTGAGTTTTGTGCAGGGTGATAAAAATATGGATCTATTTGTGTTCTTCTACATGCAGAAATCCAGTTTGACCTGCACCATTTGTTGAAGATACTGTCTTTTCCCCAGTGTGTATTTTTGGCTTCAGAAAATTAGGTATTAACAGGAACTTATGTCTGGGACTTCAGTTTGATTCCATTGATCAGTGTGTCTGCTTCTATGCCAGTGCCATGCTATTTTTATTACTGTAGCTTTATAATAAACCAGAGGATCATTTGGAATGCTAGGAATAATGACAGTTTAAGGAGGGCTTAGGGTAAAGTTTATTCTTAAGTAGGGGACAGACTACAGTGTATATAGAAAAACAGGGAAGCATTGTTCTTTTATTGTACTTTAAAGGAAACCTGTGGGATAAAACAAGTTTTCTTTTAATTTTCTTGGTACCTTGAATTATGATTGTGGTTCTTTTAACAAAATTGTTTGTAACTGAGCAAAACCTGTACCTTTCCTCTTTGTTTTTTTCCTTCCAGGCAGCAATCATCAGTAGAGTACAGTGTAGGATTGTAGCTCTAGATCTCCGAAGTCATGGTGAGTACAGCTCCTCATGGCCACCGACGCAATGCAGTTACCCAACCCCTTAATAGGTCCAAACGGCCACAATGTTAGCTGACACAAATGAACCTAGTATACTCCATTTGGGTCCTTGGGGAGGAATCCTATCGTGTAGGTAGACTACCATAATTATCCTCTTCAGAATAGCTAACCATAAAGATTTGTCTGGAATATAGAACATACTTGCTAAATCTATCCTTAAAATATATAAAGTCCCCATTCCATTACTCCTGGTTTTGTGATTCCTATCACCGAAAATTTTATCTTAAAATTATTTTCTTTTTAGGAGAAACTAAAGTCAAGAATTCTGAAGACCTGTCAGCAGAAACAATGGCAAAGTAAGGAAGCAAACACTGATTGATTGCCATCTATTCAGTCCCAGTTGTTACGTGTTTTAGACCTTCATACATTAACAACTTTCATAGAGAGTATCTAACTCAGTTAATGTGTGTGTGTATATATATATATATATATATATATATATATTTTAAAAGAGTGTAAGTCCCATTTTATTTTTCCAAGGTGTTTTCCTCTGTCTTTATGAAGCCGCCTCTTTATGGGCTTTGGTGGAGGTCGTGTGGTGCAGCACCAGCAGGTCTAAATTCGGTCTTTCTAAGCTTCCCGAGATCGATTCCTGACTACCTTGCTTTGAATAGCACAGCTCACATAGTAACGCAGCTTGACATAGAGTTTGGGGAGCACATAAGCATCGAAGACACATGCTTCGGATATGTCCCTGGTGGCAGTGGCCTCTACAGTGTTCCAAATGACGAACTTCTTAATGGCCTTGTCATTGGGCACACAGCTCATGCAGCAAATTAGCTGCGTATGCCACGGCCCATTTTGGCACAACCGTTGTTTCTCCTTCTCTTGGTCATCTTGGAGCCAAGTCCCAAAAGAGCAATGTATATTTTAAGGTTGGAATTTGATGCCTTCCAGAATATTTTATTTTATTCATTTTATCCTTACCTATTAAAATTTTGTAAGAATTGTGAATTATTCTGGAATTTATATATTGATAATGGTTTTAAATTTTAACCTTTTTTTAAAAAATATTTACCTCTAAATAGAATCATAACCACATGGCTTGATATTAATTAATTGAACCTCTAGTCCATGTCTATCTGTGTGTAAGATACACACACACACACACACACACACACACACACACATCTTTACATAGGAATGAGCCTGCAGTATTTTTTTGTTGTTGTTCTGTCATATTGATAGAGAAACACTACTTGATTTTACTTTTCCGAAACTCTGTATAAATCTCCTACATTACTTTTTAAATTATTTTTACTTTGGTGGAAGCACAGTGACATTTGGTAGACCAAATGAGTTTAATTGACTTGGCTGTATTTACAGTTAGTAAATATGTCTGAGTTTCTTACTTGTAGAATTGTAGTAAGGCCCTTTCAGACGAGGTGGCTGAAGAATCGCACGAGATGACACAGAAAGCTCATAGGGCATGGCGGGTACTTGCCTTCCATTGCTGCATCACTGGGAACACAAATTCGGTGGATTCATAAAGAATAGTGGTTTATTTAGGCTCAGAGTTCTAGAGAATGGAAAGTCTAGAGCCTAATACTAGTCTTGGATTATGGTATGGTGGAGTATTCCACATGGTAAGGCAGCTGTGCGCCAGAGAGAGCACTCTTTATACCAGGTGGTTCACTCATTAATCTGTACAGGGGTCAATCCACGCATGAGGAAAGCCCCTTATGCCTCAGTCACTTTTGTAAGTCCTACTGTTAACTACTATTAACTAGAACAAAAGCAGTAAGAATGAACACTTGATGTCCTTTTAGTTCTGAGCACAATACTTAACTTTTATCAATGTTTGTTCTTCTAACAGATACACTGCAAACTTGCAAATAATAATATTTCATAATTAATATATGAATTTGAGAGTGAGATTCAGTGATCCTAGCAACACTATTCAAATTGTCGGTTTTGCTCCCACTACCATCACTTGTCTTTCCAGGGCAGGCATCTTGTCTTTAGAAGCAGTGCTTCTGTGAAGGAAGCTTTGGTTTTTTTTTTCCCTGAGTCTTTTCTTTTGAACAGTCCTTTAACTTTGGATAACAGTTTCATATTCACTTCTCAGTCATTGCTTAAAGTAACTCTTGCAAATTTTCCTCTGATTTCCATGTGTGCCATGATGTTTGTGTGCCTGCGCTCACACATGCACACACAGACAAATGTAAAATAAACAAACTGAGGCTGATAGTAATCTTATTATCTTAAACCTCATTGCATTTATAAATGGGAAAACAGAGGCTTAGAGTAAATAATTTCTCCAGAATGCCAAACTTAGCTTGAGTATATGTTTATATGAATGTACTAGATGTGTAGGATAATATTTAAAAAAACATCAGAAACCTGAGGTTCTTAGTCCTTAACCTGCCGTTTATCTGGAGAACTGGGTGTGTGTCTCTGCATGGATACCAGGAGCCATGTAAGCAGGCTCACATGGATGTGTCGTAGAGTGCTCCACAGATCTTCTCCATTTCCCACAGCTATTAGTTACAACCCAGAAGAAGGAACTGAGAGAGAACGCTATCTTTGGTGTCCTTCTCCAGCACTCTAAGCTTTCTCTTTTTGCAGAGATGTTGGCAATGTGGTTGAAGCCATGTATGGGGACCTCCCTCCTCCAGTCATGCTGATCGGGCACAGCATGGGTGGTGCCATTGCAGTGCACACAGCATCAGCCAACCTTGTGCCAAGCCTCTTGGGCCTCTGTATGATTGATGTTGTGGAAGGTAAGTTTGCTAACTGCTGACCAAGAGACATCCTGGTACATTGTTACCTTGTCCATATTTATTCTCAGTTTTCACTCATCTTAAAGTATGAACATGTCTTTGTACCTTTATAGAATTATACAACTATTTTCTCTTATGAGAAACTTTCAGTAACACCTTTTTATGACTGTATAATATTTCTAATCTTATGTGCGTCTTTTAGCTTTTAACAATTTAGAAACAAACTGCTTTTTCTGACTTACCCTGAGAATCTCACTGCTACTTGTACAGGTAGCTGTCCTGTTCACTGGGTGCCACATGTGGAGTGAATACCAGTAGTCAGGAATTACTGAGAGCCATAGTGGAAGCTGGCTTGTGTTGGTCTTCAGAATGTTCTTAAACTCTATCTTTACTTTACCCAAGCGTCACTGAATTCTGCTATTACCAGGAGCAAATATGGAGAGTTGACTCAGTGTGTTAGTTTTTGCCACGGTGACAAAATATCTAAGATAAGCAATGTAAAGGAGGAAAGATTTATTCTGGCCCATGGTGTCAGAGGTTTTGGTCCATGGTTGGCTGGTCCATTGCTTTTAGAATGTGGTGAGTCAGAGCATCACACAGAGGGAGACTAGGAGCAAATTGTACTTCCAGAGCATGCCCCTAGTTACCTGCTTCCTCTAAGTAGACCATGTCTCCAAACAGCCTATTCAGTATGCATTCAACAGTGGATTAATCTGTTGATGACGTTAATGTCTTTATTACCCAACCACCTCTTGATAGTGCGACCAGCTGAGAGCCAAACCTTTCAGGGAGGATTCTTCCTGTGTAAGCAATGCCATTCCGTTATTGTGGATGTGAGAGTAACATGAGTACTGTTCTCTTGATGATACAGGCACAGGCAAGGGTTTGTAGGACTCCAATAGCACAGGAAATCCTCTGAAAATTAGCTGCTAGAATTCTACAAAGCTAGGAATCTTCTGTATAGAAAAGAAACTATCACCAGGTGAAGAAAAGATGACCTTCAGAATGGGAAAGGATCTCTGAAAGCTAGTTCATACTGGGGATTCATATCTTGTGTGTGTGTGTGTGTGTGTATACATGTGTGCAAAATTTAACACCAAAAAGTAAAATATCATCTTATCAGTGAATGGAGGAAAAAGGTTCTCAAAAGAAGAAATACAAATTGCCGATAAAGAATTTTAAAAGTGTTCCGCATTCTTACCCACTAAGAAATTGCAAATTAAAGCTGTTTCGAGATTCCACTCACTCCAGTCAGGGGTGATGTCTGTCATTAATAAAACAATTGATTACATGCTGTTAAGAATATAGGGAAAGAGGGACTCTTTTTCTTTTCTGACTGGAATGTAAATTTGTGTAGCGACACTGGAAGTCAGTATGGAGGTTCCTCAAAAAAATTGGAAATAGAACTATCATGACCTAGCTCTACCTTGTGGATATATACCTGAAGGACTCCCAGTCAGCAGCCCAGAGACACTTGCACATCCATATTTTTAGCTAGTTCCATGGAATTATACTAGATGCGCATAATAGGTAAATAGATAAAGAAAATGTGGCGCATATGAACAATGAAATTTTATGCAGTCTTAAGAAAAATGAAATAATGACATTTGCAGGAAAATAGATGTAACTGGATATCATGTTAAGCAAAATAAGCCAGAATCAGAGAAATATCACATTTTCCCTCATGTGGAAACAAAATTTAAAATAGTGTTTCTGTGTGTGTGTGTGTGTGTGTGTGTGTGTGTGTGTGAGAGAGAGAGAGAGAGAGAGAGAGAGAGAGAGAGAGAGAGAGAGAGCTAGCTATAAGGAGATCCTCATGAGAGGGAAGGAAGCTACCTTAAGGGGTGAGAGAGGATAACTTGGATTATATGTGACAGGAAAGCAGAAGAGTGTACTTAACTGTGGGAAGAAAGAAGTGAGGCATGAAAGAAATAGTCAGGGAGGGAGCAAAAATAAGTACTTAGTAGAATTGCAAAGCAAGAAAACAAAACAAAACAAAAGTTTATTGATGTAGTTAAAATTTTTGTTTAACATCAGGTACAGCCATGGATGCACTTAACAGCATGCAGAATTTTTTGCGTGGTCGGCCTAAAACCTTCAAGTCTCTGGAGAATGCTATTGAATGGAGGTAACCCACAAATCTAAACTGTCTCAATTTCAGATGTTATGTTTTAGCCTCTCTCTCTTTCTCTCTCTTTTAGTCAGCTCAAGTACTGAGAAGCAGAAGATGACTTTCCAAGCCTTTCTGTGATTGTATGTAAGGAAATAGCTTTGAAGCAGAGTGTTTTTCAGTGTCTCCTAATTGCCTCAGTCATCTGCAAAGTGTACCTTGCTAATACAGCATCTCCTAGGATGTTAGTAATTATAGGTCATCTGCTGTCCAGCTGGTTCTGCCCTGAGGGTGAGAACTTGCATCAGGTGGTCTCCAAAGCTTCCTCCACCCCTGTAGCTCCATGGTTCTAGATTCACTTTCTGTGTTTTACACTTAGTGGTGAAGAAATAGCTGGTGCAGGTTCTGTTCTCCAGAACAATAGGACAGGTGTTCTGTTCACTAGAATTATTTGGATTTGTAGGGAAAACAAAACAAAAAACTTAAGTAGTTTTTATTTAAAAAAAAAATGCTGGCAGAATTGCCTATGACTTCTGTTGAAGGGTCTCATCATTGAATATAACTATTAGTCCAACTGATAATTTTATAAGTCTGTGTGAAATTTACTTCATGCTAAAGGATGAAGATTCAAAGATGAGTAGAACACTGCTGACCTCTGCAGAAATAAGTCTTAAGATGAAAGTCCCTGCACTCACTGAGCCATCTCTTCAGCCTCAAACTTACTTTATAGCAAACCTCCTTTTTTTTTCATTTATATGTGTGTGTTTGAGAGAGACAGAGAGAGAGAGACAGAGAGAGAGAGATAGACAGTTGTCAATAAAGAACTGTGAGTGGGTACCCACAGAGACCAGAAGATGGATCTGTTCCCCTGGAGTTAGATTAAACATGGTTGTCAGCTGCTTGACATCGGTGCTTTGTTGCCTTGGAGGGCAGCAAGCACTGTTTAACCTCTGAGCCATCCCTCCAGCCCAGCAAAATGCTTTTTGATAAAGACCTTAACCTGTTCCTGAAGGAAGAGCCTAAGCTGATGGTATCTTAAAGGTCCTACCTCTACTGTTACAATGAGAATCCAGTTTCTAGGGAATGAGCTTTGGGCTCCCATTCCAACTAGAACAGCATATAAGGCCATGAAAGCTGTCGTCTGCCACCAGCCCTGCTCTGTCAAGTCCTCCTACTGACTCACTCCCAGGACCTTCAGCTCCACAGTGAGCCGGCTGTCCAGTCAGTCCTCGGTGCCATAGAACATGGACAGGCTTCTCTGCTTCCTCATTGGAAATAAAGCACTTCTCTGAACATGTTTCATCATATCAGTGTTATCTTTGTGCTTCTGTGCTTCTCATGCATCCTCTGAGAAGCTGCAGTTTCTTTACTTACACTCGTAATAGCCAGGAGAGGAGTGGCAGTTGTCTGTTCAGTAGCACATGGTGACTGCAGCTCTCTGTTAGATACCACAGAACCTGAATTACCCCTTCCTGGTATTGCGCTGTGCTAAGAATCTCCCTCCTTTCTCTCCTAGTGTGAAGAGCGGCCAGATTCGAAACCTGGAGTCTGCCCGAGTCTCAATGGTCGGTCAAGTCAAACAGTAAGCCTTTTATCTCTTTGCTGGTTAGAGGATGAAAAACAGGAGAGAATTAGGGCTCCTTTGTTCCTGCACTTATTCTGCCATACTGCTAAATGCCTTCATTATTTTAGATAAAATTACAGGTGAGTTCTGTTAGTCTAACATGGAGATGGTTTTTCTAGTTGTTTTTTCTGTTTGGTTTTTAGAAACTCCAAAGCCCGGTAGTGTCTTTTTTAACTCCTAGATTAAATTAGCACATCCTCCTGTTGTTGGGCATTCCAGTGAGTACACATTTAAACTAAATGTCCACACCAGTGTTCCTGTGTTAGTGTCTGAGTGTCACTGAGCCAAACCCAATATAAAACCCAAACCCAAGTATGAAATTCTGGCAGAGTTAGAGTAAAAGCCAGATTCAAAGGCTGAGCTGAAGTTACTCAACCTAATTGATCTTTCTTGGTGGATTTGCATGAGTCCTTTGTAAATAACCACAAAATAAACGTTAATTGAAAAAACAGCATCCACTAGGCCAGACAGGAGCGTAGGAGTTAGGTAAAAAGGAAAGTGTCATCATGGAATGCTTATCACCACTAGTGATTGTGTATTGTGTTTAATGTGCACAGTCTTGTTTGTAAGAGCTTGAATTTCTGAAAAACTGTGTTTTAGTGTAATTTAAGGAACCCTAATGTGATCAGTGGCCATTTTAGTGCTTTAACTCATGACCAGTCTTGTTTGGTTTACATGTCTGTTAACGCACCCTAACCTCAAATATTGTAAAACAAACTCCCCCCAAATCTGAGTCTTTTTGTAGGAATTTATTATGCTCTGTAGGAATAATAACAACATTATTACACCTAAAAAAGTTAGAATCTAATAGCATCAATTAATTAATCTAAGCAGTAGTATTTTCTTGTTTCAAATTTTTCTGAATTTTTTTGTTTTACAGATAATAATTTGTATGTGCATATTTACTTAGGTGTTGTATAACTATTTCGATATCATGTATATTTATGAGTAATTCAGGGTAATCAGCATATCTATAACCTTGAATATTTATTTCATGGTGAAATCACTCAAAATCTTCTTTTCTGGCCTTTTTGAAATATGCAGTACATTATTGTTAGACTTAGTTGCCCTGCTATTTAATTTGTAAGTTGAAAGTGAAAATCAAGATAAGCACGAGCAGTCGGCTGATGCCCTCCTGAGTGTCTGCTTTTTCTCCCTCTCTGCCACACTGCCAGGTAGATTTTTGAGGAAACTAGTTTGCCAGGCCTCTAGCTGCCTCCAGGCCTTAGAACCCATAATAACACCTGTCTATATATTTTTCCATTGAGTTTTCTCTAAAAGGAACCATGGGACCAGCTGTTCATATAATAGTGATTTTTCTATTTAATTATATAGTAAAGAGGTTCCATTTGTATCATTGTTGTCTTCTTTTATATTTGACAGTTTGATACATGTGTATAAAGATTATAGTCATTTTCACCCCTTTTTACCCACTCTCATCTCCGCCTACTGAAACTTTTCTTGCGAGCAAGTCTCCCTTCTACTGTTGTTGTAGGAGTCCGTTTGTTTCTCAGCCGCCACAGACTCTAGGACCATGGGGTGGGAGCCATCCTCACCACCTCAACTCTAGGTAGCACCGTGCAACATATAAACCCTTTTTATCTGAGTAAAAGCTAAATCTGCCATGCTTCCCTGCCTGTGAATGACTACAGACTCTATCCGGCAGTCTGCCCAGGTGGAGATGCTGAGCCCTGGGCATGGTCTCAGCTACTTTCCTCCCAACCTCAGGTGGGCACATAAGCATCCGCACCCAAAGTGGGTGGCAGACATCCAACCCCAGAAAAGATCCAGAGTTCATGCTGGCAGCACGGACCAGGAAGCCATTTCAAAACCACGTGAAGTTTTTTGTTTGTTTGTTTTGTTTTGTTTTGTTTTGCTACTGCTGAATCAGGAAAATCTTTTCTTAAAGGAGTTACAGCATGCTGCCAACAAGCATAGCCCATCTGAAAAAAAAAATGAGGCTAAACTTTGTTTTTTAGTGTCTAGAATTCCTTTCCAAGCCCTCTCAAGTTTTATGTAGATTTAATCAGCCACATTGGTGTGCCAATTTATTGTAGAATCTGTTTTTATTTCCCGGCCACCCAGATTCCTGAAATAACCACACAGAAACTATTAATTAAATCACTGCTTGACCTATTAGCTCTAACTTCTTATTGGCTAGCTCTTACATCTTAATTTAACCCATTTCCATTATTTTATACTATACCACAAGGTTTGTGACCTACCGACAAGGTTCAAGTTGGTGGCTCGCATTTGTCTCTGGCAGGGGATCCATGGCTTCTCCCTGACTCTGCCTTCTTTCTCCCAGCATTCAGTTTAGTTTTCCCTGCTTAGCTCTATTCTGCCCTGCTCTGCTATAGGCTCAAAGCAGTTTCTTTATTAACCGTTGGTATTTACAGCATACAGAGGGGGATCCCACATCATACTGACATGCCTTATTGTATAGAAATGCCATTTTTTTATTTTATTTTTATTTTATTTGCATTGGTGTTTTCCCTGCATGTATGTCTGGGTGAGGATGTCAGGTCCCCTAGAACTGGATGGAACTACAGACAGTTGTAAACCACTATGTGGGTGCTGAGAATTGAATCCAGGTCCTCTGGAAGAGCAGTCAGTGCTCTTAACCACTGAACCATCTCTTCGGCCCCTAGGATACCATTTTTAAGAAGAAGAAAAGATAATTGTTTGGATTGGATGTTCAAACGTGCAGGGTTCTACTGGCAATGGTCATTGTATTTGCCAGTTTCTATATGGTAGCTATTAACACAGGACTTTTTGGGGGTGCAGCTTGTGCTGATGTAAGTAAGGAGCTTCTTTGCTTTGGGGTTTGCTGGGACTGAATTTGCATTCAGCCTTACAGACTTATAACGTTTGTCTTAATTCTTCAGGACTACTTCATAGAATTGCTAAGAAGGTTACAAAAAAATCTCCATCACCATGTCCCAGAAAATGACCATTACCTTTTTATGAGTTCTTACTGGTAAAAGAATAAGATAATTTGACAAGACATTCATCAAGTATTTTTTTTCCGATTTAGATGTGAAGGAATTACAAGTCCAGAAGGCTCCAAGTCCATAGTAGAAGGAATCATAGAGGAGGAGGAAGAAGATGAAGAAGGAAGTGAGTCAGTAAACAAGAGGAAAAAGGAAGATGACATGGAAGTGAGTGAAGGTCTTGTCCTTGGAAAGACAGAGGGAGGAAAGGAAACAGAGAAGACAGCATTGTTATTCTTGTCAAATTACAGACTTCGGGGGGCAGAGACACTGTGGTGAGAGATTGTGAGGTGGAGCGCTCTAAGGCTGGGCTCCAGTTCGAACACGAGACTTACCCTATGTGTTCCCATCAGACTGCTTCCTCACCAGGCTCCTTCTCACTTCTGTAAAGGTGGTCCTGTGGGTTCTCTAAGGGGAAGAATCTCAGTTCCAGCCTATATCCTGTCACTGTCCAGCTCTTACCATCTTCTCAGGCTTATCTCCCAGAACAAGCTTTCTGGCCCCAGTGTCTGTCAGTCCATCTGTGTTGTGGACTTACAGTGATATGATGCAGTGGATCACTTGGAGTTGTGCATTTTAAGTCCTATAATTGAGCCACATTTAAAGATGTTGTGGATGCCTGGCACTCAGTGCTGACTCCCATTGTCCTCTAATTACATAGAAATCATTCCCCACACAAACATTATGTTCAGCTCATGTCACTACTGCCTGGCTTTTAAGGTACTTTTTTTTATCTTCCTGCCATCCTTGAGATCACTGGTCAGAATAATGCTTTATACTACTTTAGAATTTACAAATATATAAATAAGTTTTCATCTCCTTGGGCCTTGCAACACTCTGTAAGGTGAAAGAAGAGTTTACTCTCATATTACAACATAGTAGCATCTTAACTCCTAAATTAGACTTGAGAGTCTGAGGCAGAGGAATCACAACTCAAGGGCCACTTGGACTGCAGAACTACAGGCAGATGCCACCACACCGAGCTCATAGTTTCATATTGTCTGTTGCTGTTGGGCATCTTCTCATTGCTCATTGCCCAGCCGGGTATGCATTCTCCTTTATGTGACTGTGTGTTTAATTATCTCAGCACTGTTAAAGAGGCTGTGTGTCCCCTGCCAGTTCATTTGACCATGTATCTCACTGTTCATTTCTGGGACCTCTGTTTCCGCTGTGTATCTTTAGTGGCGATACCAAACTTCCTTGGTTTTATGGTTCTTAAGGCCTCACACATGTTAAACTTCTGCCACTGAGTGATACTCCTAAGTCCCAAACTTTTAATTACTGCAGCTTGTAACAGTTTTGAAGTCAAGAAGTATGAGTTCTCCAGTTTTCTTCCTCTTTTACAAAGTTGATTGTTTATTGAGAACCATATGTAATCTTAGACAATTTTAGGATCATTAAAAATATCTTTACAAAATACCATTTAAACTCAGATAGGGAATTCACTGACTCTGTGGTCACTTTGGGTGATGTGGACATCTTAGTCACCCACTGATCTTCAGTCTGCTATGTCATCTCATGTCCACATCCAGGTTTTCGTGTCGCATTCAATGCAGCATCCTAATCACTTATTTCAGTTACAATATCTAACCCATTTCCATGACACAGGAAAGCATGGGGTGCACTTACTAGTTCACTAATATTTGATAATACATTGTATGCCTATCCCATTGTCAAGGGAAGACAGATGTTGACATTTTTCCTATTTGTCATATTGCCTTAGAATTACCTTTACTAGTTATCGTCATAAGTCTGGAGTGAGATAAAGTACTCTTTTCACACACACGTCAGCTTGTTCTTTCCTGTAGTCTGTCCTATTTGTCTGGTAGTGATCCTAGATTGGATGCCAGTTTCTGCTTTTTCTTTCACTTAGTTTTTTTTTTTCTTTTGTTTTGTTTTACTAGAGTGTGGTCTTTGTCTATGTTCTTTTGTTGATATGTTCTTTTTACTCATTGGTATAAGAAAGTTCTGTCTTGGATCAATAATTAACTGCTTTTGTGATCTTAAGAAAATTTCCTAAATTTACCTAAAGTAATAGAAGTTGTTGGGTATATTGGACTGTGTCTGGAATACCAGCCAGTTGGGAGGTTGAGACCGGAGACTCATGTGAGCCGAAGAAAACAAACAGTAAAAAAGAAAATCTAAGACTGTCTGAAAGTAGAGGTTACAACAGCCTACATCACTGTATAAAGGTTAAGTGTACCCTCAGCTTTGGACTTGTGGGTTCTTGATAAGTGCTAGCTCCTCCTTCCTTCCCACAGGCTGCTTTCTGCCCTGCACCGTGGGGCTTGTCCTCACCCTCACATTGCCTTTATTCCTGCAGACCAAGAAGGACCATCCATACACCTGGAGAATTGAACTGGCAAAAACAGAAAAGTACTGGGATGGCTGGTTCCGGGGCTTATCCAATCTCTTTCTTAGTTGTCCTATTCCTAAACTGCTGCTTTTGGCTGGTAAGTGTGTGTGTGTGTGTGTGTGTGTGTGTGTGTGTGTGTGCGCGCGCTGAAATAATCAAATACTATAGATCGGATGGCTTAAAGAACGGAAACCTGTTTTCTCAGAGTCTGGGGGCTGAAAGTATAAGATCAGAGTACAGTCGGGCTAAGTTCTCCGAACTCTCTTCCTGTTCACAGACCTTCCCTCTGTGCTTTCATAGGTCTAAGAGAAGACAAGGCAGCTTTCCTGGTGTCTTTTGCAAGGACACTAATCTTATTGTCTCAGAGACCCCCACCCTTACAACCTCATTTTGCCTTTTTGTAGACCCCATCTTCAAATACACTAGGGACTGGGGCTTCATCATGAATGGTGGGGACAGTTTCAGACCATAGATGTGTGAGTACTGCCGTCTAGATGTGAGCTCATAAGAACTATTAATATTAACAAATATTAATATTAACAACTTTTAAAGTGGAGAGCCATCCTTGTTCCCCAGCTTCCCCATATTCAGGCCTAAACCTAACGGGGCATGAAAGCTCTCCAGTGGTGCAAGACATTGGCCTAGCCTTTGTGCCTGGAGAGCCCAACTCCTGGAGCTACAGACAGTGCTGTAAAAACACTCTGAGTACTGTGAGAACTGAGACAGTAAAATCTTGTTGTCATATAAACATCTTTAAATGAGCGTGATTGGGGTTGGGGTTAAAAATATTTGTTATTCTTGGAGAGAACCCGAATTTGGTTCACACAACCTACATAGTGGCTCACAACCATTTGCAACTCCAATTCTAGGGTATCCAACACCCTTTTCTGACCTCTACAGGTACCAGGCACATATGTGGTACACATATATACACGCAGGCAAAATACTCATATACAGAAATAAAGTAAGTAAATCACAAAAAAAAACAACAACAACAAAACCATAATTACCCAGAAATTGGAAACCAAAAAATCTCATCTGGTAAGAATGTGCCCATGGGAATCAGGATTGAAGGTGCAGTGGGCAACCAGGACTGTGTGCATCTGAATTGAGGTTGCAGTGGGAATCAGGACCCTGTGCATCTCGATTGAGGGCACGATGGGGAATCAGGACCGTGTGCATCTGGATTGAGGGTGCAGTGATATGTATAACTCTGAGGTAGTTTTACTCAGAGCTCAGTAAAACCTGTTTCCAAGGCATTTTCTAGGGAGTTACTCACAGGTTCTCCTGTTTTGTTCCAGGTGTTGATAGATTGGATAAAGATCTGACCATAGGCCAGATGCAGGGTAAGTCATCCAGAATTTGTGCCTGTGGATACTTTTCTGAGGGCGGGGAAACGGGCAGTCATATGAAAATTGGTGTTCTGAGATAGTGAGGTCCAGTAGGGAGAGTCAGCATTAGAGTCACCTCCATTGAACCGCCACCGCTGGGTGATTGTGGGCAACATCTTCCCTTTTCTAAAGAGTTATTATCTCCCCGCCACCAACTAAAAATGAGAGTCATTACTCAAGCAGTGTTTCCAGGATGAAAGAAATCAAATGAGGTGATGCCCTGGGAATTACTATTAAACAGGCACCTAACATTGTGAACAGACATAATTTCCCGGTGTTTTCTTATGTTCAGAGTTTTCAGAAAAGAGAAACAGTATAGGTATCAAGTGGCATAAAGTCAGTTAGAAGACATGATGGTGAGTAGGGAGTAGGGTGGGGGTAGGAGTTAAACACTGCTCACCTAGTAAGCTGTTTGAGCTGGAATGCTCTTAAATGTGTAAACTGAGAGTGTTGACGCCAGCTGTAAAGAGATTACACAGTATAGTGGGTCTGAGCCCCACACGTGAGCCCAGACGTGAAGACTGCAGCAGGGATGCAGCAGGGCCCATTTGTTTCCTCTATGTTAGAATCATGTGCATTAATAATATAATAGATCTGAAGGAGCCGCAGCCTCCTGCAAGAGGCAGACCGTTAATAGACTTAATGGTGTGGCCTAGTTCCTGCACTAATTACACAGCCTTGGACGAGATATTGCCCTAATCATAGCTCACTTCCTTTCTCTGTGTGACTGTAGAATCATCTTCAACAGTGGATAGATTGGTACGCTGAAAACATAAACTACTGTGTGGCTTGCATGAGAGCCACAAAGACATCTCCAACTTACGTTGAAAATGGAAATACTGGACTCACAGATTTAGTCAGCTCCCCACCTGGCCCTGTATTTAGCATTGAACTAGAGTCTTTTGTGCCAGGAAAGCACCTGCCCCTCATGCTGTAGCCCAGCCCAGCTCAGCTCTAGTCACTCCTTTGTTGACTGTCAGTGCTGGACACCAAACCTTGGACCAGCACACCCAGGAAAGCTACATGCCCAACTGCTGATCACTCTTAATACTTGTCACATTAGAGTTTGGAGTGTAACTCAGTGGTAGAGTTTAAGTAGGTTGGAGCCCTACTTTTCAATCCCGAATTACCCCTCCCCCCCGCCAAATTACTGTAAGTTGTGAGTTTGCAGTGTACTGTACGGCAAAGAGTGAGAAAGCACATCTTACATTGTCTAGCACACTGTTTAATACTCATCTGCTGTCTTTTGCAATAATCCATTTCAATATTCTTTTATATATTTATTTTATTTACTTATTATGTATACAGTTGTCTGTCTGCAAACCAGAAGAGGGCACCAAACCTCATTACAGATGGCTGTGAGCCACCATGTAGTTGCGGGAAATTGAACTCAGGACCTTTGGAAGAGCAGACAATGCTCTTAACCACTGAGACATCTCTCCAGCCCCCATTTCAATATTCTTAACATAGCTTACAGAGTTCCAAATGACCCCAGGTTTTCCAGCCCAGCCTCACTGCCAGCCACTCAAATCAGCACCATGCCAAGCTTCTTTATTTCCATGACTAACTGTCATTTCAAGCCTTCTCTTCGGGTTGGTTCATTCTTTCTGTGCAGAAAGCTGTCTGGGTATCTTTACCACATTGCACAGCCTCTGTGCACACCTCACCCTTGGAACTACATCTGCATTAGTGCTGTGTTTTACTCTCCAACTAGACTGACTGCTGTGAGCACAGGAACTGAGTTTTCTGTACCAAGTAGGTACAGAAGGAAAGGGTGAAACGTGAAGGGATCCTGAACAAGGGTACAGTTACACTCAACAGACTTGGTAGCTGTGTCCAGAGTGTCCTGAGGGAAGGTCTTCCTGGGATGCCCAGTGACCTAGGAGGCATAGGGGTGATTTGGGGAGGGCTTTCTATCCCTGAGGTTCCCCGTTTGTCTCCTCTCCAGGGAAGTTCCAGATGCAGGTCTTACCGCAGTGTGGCCATGCAGTCCATGAGGATGCCCCTGACAAGGTGTGTCTGGTGCCCAATGACTTGGGAGGACAACTGGAGGGAATGTGGGATTTCACAGAAAGTAGGATAAACCTGTGTCTCAGGGTTTGTCTGTCAGCTCCCCAAGTCCCGCCTGGTGAGCACCTGTGGTCTTGGCTTTGTATGTCTGGGCTGAGGAGCCACTGGCACCCTCTTTTATCCCAGGGCCTGTGGCTAAGATCTGCTTCTTTGTTAAAGCCAGACAAGGGTGATTTGAGCAGGCACTGCACCCTAAATTCCAGTTATAGTCAGAGATTAATCGGGGCTCCTCCTGTGGGAAAATAGTGTTTGTAAGTCTTCTGGGAGTAAAAGATTCTTGTTCCCTTTCACTTCTCTGGAGCCCTTGTAAGGAGTCCCCTGGTCCAGGTCCTTTGCTCTTAACCTGCCTAGACAGTAGTAAGTACTTCCAAGGACAGCAGTGGCCAAACCTTCAGCAGAAGCCCCAGCACTTGCAGCACTAGGCCCAGCACTGCCCTCCACGGGGCCTAGAATGCCTCTTCTTTTCCAGGTAGCTGAAGCTGTTGCCACTTTCCTGATCCGGCACAGGTTTGCAGAGCCCATCGGAGGATTCCAGTGGTGAGTACATAAAGGCATGTGAGTCTAGCTGGATGGCCCACCTCAAAACTTGAGAATCTTGGGGACTATGAATATCACTGCCTTAGCCCTGTCTGGTCTGCATTACCGAAGTGGTCTGTGTTTTTCTTGGTTGTATGTGGGTCCAGTGGTCTTGCTGAGCTGTGTTGGAGTCATGCCTCATTTCCTGCAGTGTAATCCACCTTTGCCAGAAATGTCTGTGTTCTGCCTCCTGCTGAGTAGAGCTGGGCAGGCCATGGAGGTTGTGTAGAAGTCTAGATTGGGAATTTAAATCCTGCACCACTGGCATTTAGAGGAAGTGATTCTTTGTTTGGGTCAGGGGGTGTCCAATGCAGCATAGCCGCACCCTGGCCTCTGCCCACTATCTTCCAGGAACACATCCTAAACATAATTCTGCCAACTATAAATGCTTCCAGTTGGATCCCTATATCAAGGGAGACAGAAGTGAAACAATGACTTGTCTAGAGGGAGAGTGAGCAAGTCATCCATGGACCCTATGAATCAATGTGAAGACTTAATTTCTCAAAGTGTTTGGGGGCTCCTGACCTTTGGTGTCTTGATCAAATGAACCATCCATTGAGGGCAGCACCCCTGTCTAGCTCCACATGGGGCTGTGAAGAGATGGGTCATGCCTGCAGGAGCTTTGTTGGTCACTGGGGAGGGGAGGATTCCCTGGAGAAAGAGGTAAGCTGGGAAAAAGCTTGTAATGGTTTGTAACATTTACCCCTTTCTATCCCTGACAGTGTGTTTCCTGGCTGTTAGTGACCTGATGTCCACCCCCTCTCTACCTTGAGCTCTGTTGTAAATACATCGCACCAGAGGCCACTGTGATGCCGCTGTCTCCTCCTCACCATCCCACCCAGCCATGTGACACTGGCTCCCTGTAGAGGGGCATCCCAAGATGTACAAACCCTTTCTGTATACCTGTCAAAAGCATTGTTTTCCAGGGCCCTTGTCCAACAGTGGCCTGTGTAGTCTGGGGTTCCCAGCTCTTCCCCTCCCCTGTGCTCCCTGCCTTGCCTAGGGTAAGCCACCAGAGCTGTTCCTGGGGCCCCTGTTCCTGGTATCCGGCAATGTACCTGGGTTCATATGTCTCCCCAGGCTCAGGGATCTCCATTCCTTGAGGATGTTCTTGGCATGGTCCTGCCCTACCTCATGGAATGGGCAATGCACACACTGGCCCTTATTTTTCCCTTTCAAATAAAACACCAGTCAGGTACCTTTATCCCAGTCTTAACTGTTCCAAGTCTGGAAGAGCCAGAGTGACCAAGGTTCCAGCCTTAGTTCAGGGAGAGGTAATAGATAGGAAGCATCCCAAGAGACCTGCCTGTAAGCCAGGTCCAGCCAGTCCAAGCACATGGCTTCCCATCCGGGTGAGCCTACCGTCCCACTCCCACATGCCTGGGCACCTGCCCTGGGCTGAGGCCAGCTGCTCCAAGGGTCTCACGAGCCCTCATCTGCCACAGAGGAGCCCAGGTGAAACACAGCCCACGCACAAAACCACAGGCTAAATCCTGTGGAATTGTTTTTAATGATCGAATTTAACCATTTTCATAGTTGGTTCCTGAAGGTGTGCCAAGTGCCGCTGCCTCTTCTAGACCCTCAGCTTCTCGCTCCACTTGTGGTTTCCATGTTACTATGTAGAAACGTCATGGACTAGCATCTCCAGTCTGCCCTCATCATAGCACTGCGGCCTCCCCCTGCTGCCCAGGCACGCCATTTCCACGGGCAGGGAGGGGCAGCCCCCTGAAGCCCATCTTTCTGTGACTGTCGTAGGTGACATTTAGCCCTCTTCACCTTTCACCCAACAACTTCCTACCCCTGTCCTGCTGCACGGTCCAGAGTCTGGGACCGACTTTGTTTCTTTGTTATTTATGATCCGGTTTAAAGAAAATAAATATCTCCCAACCTTTATTCATCTGAGGAGTCGTCCTTATTTTTTGGATCTGGCTAGGAACAGTTTATTAGATTTAGTTGCCACCAGACTCCAACAGTCTCTTTCTCCATAGTCTGTCAGTGTCGGCAGCCAGTGCTCCTGTGAGCAGATTATCACCTGTGTTCCTACGAAGACCCCTAATGACACTCTGGGATGGACACACATAGTGGGGTGCTAGGAAGAGGATTGTCAGGCAAGAGGGAAAAGTGGAGGCAAGAAACTGTCTTTGTCCACAGCACGTCAGAATCTTCCCCAGATCCGATCCTGGAAGGCGGACGGAACCTGTCTCCTGCAGCTCAGGGAGAGGTGGAGAAGAGCACAGTCTGCCTCCCTGACTTCCCGAGCTCTAGACACGCACTCCCATCTGTCCTGAAGGAGTCACTTCATTGTGAACTTCCTTGACAGGTGCTCTTGAGTACATGGTTCCAGCTCAGTATGCGGTAGGAACAAGCAGGTGCCAGTTGTCCAAACCACAGTTAGAATTCTGGCCTCTTTCTTTTATTCTCATACCATTTGCTGTCACGCCCTGTGCCTGCCTTCTTTATGCCCCTCATTCCCATCCCAGCTATTCCCTGACCTGGGCATCATCTCTCACCTAAATTACTACCTTACCCTTTTTGGTGTCCTGCTGCTGCCCCTTCCCCAGGATCACTCTCCACACACTTACCTTAAAGGCTTTGGTTTCCTCATCTGCAAACTGTAGTAAGCTGTATACCCACGGGACATGAAGAAGGACCACCCATGTTACAGTAGATCAGCTGACAGCTCTGGGACTGACACCTACCCTCACGGGACATGGAGGACCATGCATGTTACAGTAGATCAGCTGACAGCTCTGGGACTGGCACCTACCCTCACGGGACGTGGAGGACCACGCATGTTAGAGTAGATCAACTGACAGCTCTGGGACTGACACCTACCCTCACGGGACATGGAGGACCATGCATGTTAGAGTAGATCAACTGGCAGCTCCGGGACTGACACAATTTAGCCTTGGTTCCTGAGCCCCTAGTGCCAGTCTTTCCTGGAGGTTTGGGCAGGTTTTGTCTTCTTCCATTCTTGTGTTGAGTCAGAACTTATCTGCATTTTTCAAGTACATCCATGCTGGAGAAGCTAGAGATTATGACCAGATAAAGCAGGGGCAACCCCTGCAGAGAAAAGCCCATATTCTATGTGATCTGATTTCTGCAACCCATCTTTTGGGATAGCCTTTGAGCTGCGTGCCCTATTGCCTGCAGGGGGCAGCATGATCATTATGGTTTTGTTCACCAGGCAAAGCCACAATTACCAATTTTGAACATCATCAAATTTACTTGAGATCAAATCCTCAGAAGAACCTGTAGGACAGTTACTGTTATGTTCATTTTACAGATGTGGAGACATGTAAATGTTTATATGGCTAAGAAGTGACAGTGTCAGTAATCAAGCCCAAGTGGTTTCTGTAGCATACTGCCTCCTGCGTAATAAAAAGTTATTACTAGCAGGAGTTATTTGGGAGTAGGACTATGCAGTATTTACCCGCCCCCTAAAGTCCCAGTGACCAAAACTTAATTCTACTGAAGATCTCCCAAGGGAACTAATTAGCTTATTGGGCTAACTTATAGAGCATGGGTAGCCCCAAAGCAGCCACACCGGAGAATCTTCATCAAGCATGGATGCTGGTACTCAGGTAAGCGTCCAGTGTTTTCCTACCTCTTCCCATGGGGAAACGTCAATCAACAAGCCCAGCTGTGGTGATCATTTGCAAACAAGCACAGCTGGTCTGACAGTGGCAGCTGTTTTGCTCAGAGGAACCTCAGCCTCAGAACAAGAGGAGGATGAGCAAAGAAATGAGGCCAGGTTGTCTTGTGGATGGAGGCTGAGAATGAAATGTTGATTGAGCTTTGTTAAAGACTGCGTCGCGAATGGATGTGTTGTATGTGGTCATCAAATGCTGGCATCCTCTCCAGTTAAAGGCAAGGTGACTGAGGTTTAGAGATAGGTAATGGCTTGCCCACAGCCACAACTAGGGTGAGCATCTGTGCCTTTTAGTTCCAAGGAATGTATGTCCACTCCTGATGTCTAGTGAGCACCTACTGTGTGCTAGCCATTAAAAATACCCAGCATAGCCTATAGACAAGGAGATTCCAGCACCTTTGAATGAGAGATTGTTGCAGGGTCAAAAACAGCATATTTGAGTCAAACCAAAGGCTGTTCTATCCCTCAAGAAAATGGACAGGGGAGCTGAAATAGGGAGCTGGCTTACTCGGCAAAGTGCTTGTCATGCAAACATGAAGACTTAAACTTCAGATTCCCAGCATCCATGTAAGAAGTCAGGCACAAGACAAAATTAGGTCTTTTATTCCCCCGAAGAAAAGTAACCTGTGTAGATGTGTGAGTAGCCCCCAGACTAGAGGTGTGCCTGTCAGTAAAGAGGCAGCTGTAGGATAAAATAACAGGAAGGATGTCTGAGAAAGTCATAAGGAATAATGCTATTAACCATTTACAAAAAAAACAGAACAACCTAATAATCTGTGCTGGCTACTCTTATGTCATCTTGACACAGTTGGGGTTTTCTGAAAGAAGGGGACTCAATTGAGAAAACGCCTCCAAATGACAAGCCTGTAGGGTATTTTCTTAATTGGTAATTAATGGGGGAGAACCCAGCCTACTATGGGTGGTACCATCCTTGGCTTGTGGTTCTGAGTTCTTTAAGAAAGCAGGCTGAGCCATCTGTGAAGACCAAGCCAATAAGCAGTTCTCCTTCATGGCCTCTGCATGAGCTCCTGCATCCAGATTCCTGCTCTGTTTGTGTTCTTATCCTGACTTCCTTCGATGGTGAGCAGGCATGTGGTAGTGTAAGCCAAATAAACCCTTTCCTCCCCAAGTTGCTTTGGTCATGGTGTTTCCTCACAGCAATAGAAACGACAGATACACCTAAACCTAAGTCTGTGAGCAAATATACATATGTAATTTAAATGAACTCTTCTGGGCTGACAGCATTCCCACCAAGAGCCAAAGACCCCAACATCACGCATGAGAAGCCCGATTTTGAATGGTGGTCAGGGTTATCCAAAAGATTCCCAAAACATAAGGCTGTTGCTATTGCCTTTCCTTGCCTCACAGAGTACAAGGTAAGTCCCTATTGCTGAAGACACCATGTACTTCAGAACTAAGGCTCAGAGACCTCTGAGCTGGAACTCTGAATGCCCCCTCTCCTTCATGGTACCAGAAGGCATCATACAAGTTTCCAAAGGAGGGCAGCAACCTATAGCCTTACTAGTTATGCCTATGAACCACAACCAAAGTTGAGCACCATAACCTAGGGTGCAGTAATGACAGACATACTTTTGTGGTGTCTAAAAGTTCTCTAAGTGAACTTAAGTAAGACCAACTCAACAAGAAGAAACAACATATTTGAGTCAAACCAAAGGTTGTTCTATCCCTAATGAAAGTCAAATGGAGCTGGATGGTGGTGGTGGACGCCTTTAATCTCAGCACTCAGGAGGCGGCGGCAGCAGCAGCAGCAGCAGCAGCAGGCAAATCTCTGAGTCCAAGGCCAGCCTGGTCCACAAAGCAAGTTCTAGGACAACCAGAGTTGCAACACTGAGAAAACCTGTCTCAAAGAAACAAAGACAAAGAGGAGGATGAAGGAGGAGGGAGGGAGGGTAGAATGAAGAAAGAAAAGGTCAAATGAGCAGGGGAGCTGCACTAGGGAGCTGGCTCGCTTGGCAAAGAGGAAGATCACACTGGAAATGGAGTCAACTACCTAAGGTTGGGAAAGTCATGGATCTTGGAGGAGAACCTCCAATTACCACTTCACTAAACCAGCATCATCATCTTCATCTACAGTCTAAATATTTGTCCTGATACCCACAGGTAAGTAGTTCTCACCCATCATCAAAGAAACTAATCTTTGCAACAGACAGACACTACAGGAAATCACAACCTATCAAAATGCAGAGTTGTGGATCCCAGTCACAACTGATACATCTATAACAGAACTCTTGCCCAGAAGGGTTCAGGGAACGTTGCAGAAGAAAGGGCAGATTGATTGTAAGAGCCAGAGGAGCAGGGAGTTTATTGTGAGATTGTGTCTCCTAGAAACATCAGAGCTACACGTGTAAAGGCTCACTGTCATGGCTGCCTAAGCATCAGCTGAACAAGGATGGCACCAATAGGCAAGCCAAAGTGGATTGGGAAAATGACCATGAGGCCGCAACCCTACCCAAGAAACGACAGGCTACTAAGGAATGCTGAGAATGGGAGAAATAATCCCTTCCCCAGGGAGGAGCACACCAATTGGTTATCCAACACCAAATGGTCAGCCCTGAAAACACACAAGTAATATTATATAGACTGATCAGGTTATATTTAGAATATATATGCATATATACATATATAAGTGTTATATATATTTAAAATATACATGACACATATATATCATGTAACAACTAGTGAACTAGGCCATATTTTTAAAAGGGAACAAGGAGGGTTTGGAAGGAGGGAAGGGAAGAAAGAAATGATGTGATTATATGGTACTCTCAAAAGGAAAAAAAAAGAGGCAGTTAAAAAGGATGTACCAAATGCAGTGGAATGAAGGAGACAAACTAAGTGGGTTCGCAAAGAATCCATTATGTTGGATTGAGAGGCCTGCTGACAGCTGGAGTTAGGAGGTAAGAGCTCAAAGACATTAGAAAGGAAGACATGGGTCTGGAGAGGTGGCTCCATGGTTAAGGGCACTTGTTGCTCTTGCACAGGACCTGGGTCCAGTTTCCTATACTCACATCAGGGTGCTCACATTGTTTGTAACTCCAGCTCCAGGGAACTTGATACCATTTTTGTGACTTCTGCAGTCATCCATATTGCATATATGCATACTAACATATAGACACACACAAATAAAAATTAAATTTAAAAAAGGCATTAAGAGTCTAAGATGGCATCAAGGGACACCCAGGGCATTCCCTACTCCCTTGTATGTACACATATTTGTAGT